GATTCCGGATCAGTTGTTCAATGCATGAAAACCACTTCTCGTCTAGAAAGACCTCCTTATCCTTGTCCTCGCTTAGTAGACGAGTGATGCAAATGAGTAATGAGATTTTTGACGATTCAGCCGGCATGACTTTTTATTGATGGATGGGCTGACACACAAGACAAGTGGACTGTGTGACGAATTTCTGGGGGCGCTCTAAGATTTGGAGTGAATGCGTGATTCTGCCACTGTACGGTCTACATAGAAGCCAATTTGGATTGATTATCGATCGGTCATTATTGGTATAATAGGGCCTGCGTATTGAGTTCACTACTTAAATTTACTTTGCCGGGACAACTCAGTAGGCGACTGATCGGTTTGCACTTATTCGCGTTGCCACATGGTTTGATGCCTTTAGCAGACTGAACTTTTGTGTGCTAACGGTAACTGTGCAGAGTAGTAACAAATATAGATGTGTATATCCTTCATCCTGCGCACAGTAGAAACTACGATTTGTCAGTTATTTTGAGCGCTATTCGGTCTGCAGAGACTCGACATAACAACTGTTTCTGTTGCGTCACCCCTTTGAAGAAACTGACGATCACAAGTAAGGCTTGAGCTCTGAAACAGGTTTTTCAAAACAAAAGAAGTTAGACACATTATAACTATGCACGCTGAGCATCCTAATGTATCTGGATAACAATATAGAAATGTGAAATTTTTAACTAAAAGGGCCTACTATCCATCCAACTTCAAGACGTGCACACTCCTTGGTGCGTAGTAACATCATATTGCCAACTATTCATGTTCCGAAAAACGACGTTTACTTGCCATTTGAGAACATAAATTCTGGGTCGAAAAAACTGCGGTATGGACAGAGTTGAAAACAAAAAATGGTCACACGAGGTAACACGATGTTATTATCCAAATACCGATGTTGCCTATGGCAACATTTCTACCGATTCCTGTACTCAAATACACATTAGTCGAGTGCACCGTCCATTTTGGTCCGCCACCATGATGAGTAATTTGTGTGTTCGTGAGGTCAGTTGCGGCCGAGTGAGATTAGTCTGTGTACATTCTGTCGGTTCATGTGCATTGTGAAGATTGGCGACCTGGTGTTCTTAGCGGACGAAAACGCAAAACACGCATCTACCGCCCGAGTAGCATCTAGTCAGTTGCCTTGGCAGGCAAACAAGAAACAAGTATACGAGCAAGTAACCTCTACACACCTTAATCTCAACAAATCATTAGCCAACCCCCTGAACGCTACAGCTAGGCGACATGATAACTGGACCAAATAGCTGTTGCTTTTGACTTCTATCCCTGGACTTCAGCAACTCAACTTCATATTCCCATGCCTTTTTTAATCCACAATACATCCAAATTATCTCAGCGCCGTCTCTTCACTAAATACAGTTTGCGGAGTATGACGTTAGAGTGGACTGCTTAGAGGCAGAACGACCTTCGGCTTTGTTTATTTGAATTGTATGCTTGGATGTAGATAAAGTTAATCCCTACAGACAACACTGTCTGAATGATTATTGACTGAAGGAAACGCATGAGACACTCACACCCGGTGTTAATCTCTTACCTTTGCCATTGTTGTAAGATTAGGTGGAGACTACTCAGAAGGTTGCTGAAAACTCTCCGACAGCCCACGACCGGTTTCGCCCTTTTTGGGGCTCATCAGGTAGGCGCAGTTTTCGTCAACCTTATGATCTACTTGAACCCAAATTAGACTGTTTTCGAGGAACCAGTCGTGAGCTGTCGAAGAGTTTTCAGCAACCTTGTGAGCAGTTTCCTTTACGAAAATATACTGCGATATCTCGAATATCGTGCCAACTGAATCAGGAGGCGGCCTGTGTGCAGCACATTCAGTTGTAGAATATCATAAACGAGAGATTCAGTTGAGTCTCTCGCGAAAACTAAATTGACTGGCAAATGAGTGTATTTCTCGAAAATCAGGTGGAGACCCCTTTGAAAAGTAGATGATACAGCAGTGCCTCGTATGAACCTGAGGCAAGCGCTTAAGGACATAGTAAATTGGACAAAATTAGGAGAGGTAAGCGGTCACAACCTGGTGTGTCGAAATGAAGACATCACCGGTGACTACAAATTGGCCACCGCTTAAATCACGTTATTTCAGCAGCATTAAATTGCATTCATTGCGTTTGATTCGCAAAATTAATCAGTATATAATGAAGGGGTATCTACTGCTTTTACCGCACAAGCCCAAAAATAAATTAAGTGCCTGATTGCACTATTTGCCAAGGCATTCTTTTGTGAAGTTTTTTGGCTCTCTTCTTTGGACATTTTGCATCAGTTTACACTAATTCTGAAGCATCATACTACTGCACACTCCGGTTTGTAAGTTTCATTATTTTTTACCAAAGCCCGAAATTTCGGAAATCGAAAACTTTATGTTGTATAGCAGCATTATGAAAGGTAGAATTCGTTAGCAAGTTAGCTATGGTGATTCTCCTAACATCACTGACATGAAATTAAACTGGAAGCTCATTCATTTAACCAGTCAGACAGACACAAGTCATCGGACTACTGCTACTACCAAAATAATTAAGGACAATTAAAGCTTTAGTTTGAACCATCTGGTAAGACCAAGACATATAATTCGGTAAACATGGGTTAAAACTAGCTCAGTTTTATTATGAGTGATATCTTTCTAAGATATAACACTACTCATTTGGTTGGAGACTCACGGATATTTCAACATAGGCTCCAGCCCTTTGTAAGTTCATCAGCCAGGCCCGGCCTTTCGATTGTAAACAATTAATTTCATGATAGGACACCGGATGGGACGTATAACAAGCCTGGCATTACTCATTTTCAAGCCAAGTTTCAAGAAAGACTCATCATTAAGAGTTTTCGTCAACCTTATGATTAGTATCACCTCAAGGATAACACTTCGATATACTGAAAAGTGAATATCAGTCTTCATGAAAAATGTTCTGATCGGGAAGGTTGTTAACAAGAGTTTCATTTGGGCTCCTCGTTATCAGAAATAAGCTTGTGAACGAGTACGTACCTCCGCAAGCCACCGGTTCTTTTCTTTTTAAATGACTCCTTCCAGAATGAGTTCACATTGGGGTCATCTTGTTAAGTGGCTCAGGTGAGTAATGCTAGCTCATTTGGTTGTATAACCGCCTGCTCTCGTAACCATTGCAGGACACAGTAAACACCCTTCTGCTTAGCACCGTAAAATTGGAGCATGATGTCAAAAATAGGCAGCTGCAAGATGGTCATCAAAGGAAACTTCACTCCCAGCAAAAGCCTCCGGTTGGCGATCACAGGCTAGTAATTAGGACAATTTCGATAAAACCATTGGTGTTGAACGTAATGGCCCACTCACCCCACGCTTAGCGTTTCCTTCTTACCAGTTGTGGAGATGATTGACGGATATGGGGTGAACCGCAGTCCAATGCCGAACCGACGTGCACGGGTGGAGTGAAGTAGCGTCCTCCGCAGTTTAGTTGCTAAGGTAGAGGTTAACTTGCCGAATCCCGTCCAAGGGTACTTTCCCTAGTTTGTTTTATTTAGGCTTTGGCCGCTCTCCATCCCCTTTCAGTTTAACTGGAGGTCAGTCGGCCTAAAAATTAATCGGCTTATTACAGCTACTCTCTTTGTCATGCTTGTCAGAACATGAATCTTGACGTTGGGTCATCCGACACAAGTAGTTGTAACCGCGACTTTGTGTTTCCAATACGTTCTGTTTACCGGATGACTGCTGGTTCGATCCCGGTCATTCTAATTCTACGAGCTTCGAGATATGCCAAATTCCTTCCATATAAAGGTGACAACTCATTCATATGCCCCCCCCCTAAGAATGCATTCGTTTTATAGCACTCGGTTGATACCTTAAACTCTGACCAAACTACTGCATTAAGTTCCACGCGAATTCGCCGATTAGTTTCGGGTATTGCAGACCCAAAATCATCTCAAAAATCATTGTGGTTGTCTTCGTTGAAGACTTTAAGCCAGCAGGAGACAATCAACAACCGCCGAACAAAAAATACCGTAAAAAGTCATATTCGATAAAATGATGATTTTGTACATGAAACTTATCTTTTTGTCAAGCAACCTAACTTGATTCTCGTGTTTTTATTTGGTTATGTGGAAACCGCCAGTAAACTTGATACTAAGGTTTCTCAAAGCTCACAGTGGTATAAGCTCGCTTATGTTTACCTTAATCGAGAAAGGTAAATTGTAATTAACATAACGATAGACCATACAGATAAAAAGGATGTCTTGCTACGTATTTTCCCGAGGTTGATTCCACTGACCAAGAATTTTCATAACAAACGGTTATGAAGAACAGGTGGGCGCCGCAGACAACTGATATCTCAGTTATCTAGGTGATAAACGGGGATTTAACACCCATTATTACAGTCGTTTTACAAGGTCTAATTTGGTAAGCTGTAGGTGTTTGCGAGATTTGTGGAATCGGCATGACGAAAAGGAATCCTGTTCAAACGAGAATGATGTGAATGCAAGGTATATTTGGTAGTTATGTTCACTTCCTGTCTGGCCAAAAAGAGGAATGTCGCCAAAGACTTCGTTGGACGTGGTTGAAATCATTAATACTGGTAAGGGCCAGTATAACCAGCATTGAAACATTGGTGTTTTGCCTCCGGATACCTCAAAGAGAATCACCGCGTTTGCCGGGTTATTCTATTTTAATACGGTTGTATGAAAGTAGAAGCTAGTTTTTTTGAGGATCCATTACATATGGCAGCCTTAAATAGATACATCTACTGGTATTGTCTGATGGAATTTCGGAGAAAAATGTTATTTTACCTGCTACAGACTGTATTAGGCCTTCCATAGATCGAAGTTGTTTGGCGAACTGTCAACCTTGCAACTTTTTGCACGGTTGATTGTGGTTTTCAGTTTCATTGTTTGACATTCCACCTAGAAGATTAGTTTTTACCCGATCATCTCGAATGACTTGAGTGACTTGGTCTTTAGTGAACGATCATCTTTTTTATTCACTTCCAAACCAGGAATTTTTGAACAGACAAAAAGTTGAGCTAGAGTTCAAAATAAAAGAAGCACAAAGTTTGCGTGCAGGCTTGGAAAACTGCCGCCTTCGACTGTTGGAAAGTATTCCGCCAGGGTTGAAAGTTGAAGACCCATCGCCCGAACTCGTCCACGGTTATGAATCGACAGACTCGGCAATTGGGATGAACGAACATGAGAACGAATCAGACCAAAATCGGGCAACCCTTCAGTCGGATCAAACAACTAAACCAACCAAGCATATCCCGGTATTCTTGCGCGACCGAATATCCGTTCACTTGCTTCACACACTGCAGTGGCTGGTAACATATCACGTACGTCCTTTTTTACATCGATTACATATCTCCTATAGAAGAGTTTGTGATTCACCGGAGACGACGCCATTCTGCACATTCTTTTCTTTTTGTGTATACCTCTTCGTTAGTGATCGTATAATCCACACGAAATTCTGGAAGCGGGAAAAGAACGATTCCACTCTAGCTTCCATTTGACTCTTTAGAACACCCAGTTGGATTGGCAAAAGTTCAACTTACGTCTATCTTTAGAGCATTAGGAATAACTTCGATAGCTATGTTAGCTATGAAAACCGGCTTTGTTGATCCTACACTACTATCGCGGCGTTGATCCCCACTGGTGCCGAATGACTCCGACAAAAATCTTTACGCACAAATGCAAGCACTTGCCACCCAATCCCTCATACTTTTTACTGCTTCATGTTAAACGAAGATTGAATAAAATCGCGCTCGGTCCATTGTATGTTATCTATTAGGGAATGGCTTTCAACCCGGAGGTTTAAATACGCGGATAGATTCACAAAAACTCAGGTTTCAAATCAGAAACCTACGGTCTTACATTCTTGTGATGTGCAACATTGGGCACACCGAAAGTGACAGTAATTTAAGGGAATCTTCTGAAGGGACTACATTAGAGCAGCCATTGGGACGTAACTTATTTAGGTTTACAGCCTCACTGCATCTATATTACCAGAAAAGACCTTCATTGTGCGCGTATGTGTGTGTGGACGAACCTAATGTGCGAGAAAACACCTTTCGAATACACACTGAATGGCAGTTTCTCTGTGTGACTGACAGGAAGCTTGCATTCCTTTCTACAATTGGCATAAAAATGTCTGTTAACCGGGATTCTCTAATGGATGCATATTATATCAACTAAACTGCCTTACTTGGGGATACGTACAGCAGAAATGGTCGATTCTGTGGTCACACGAACTGTTTATCAAATGTTCTCGCCTAAGCAAGGATTAACTGTCGCTGTACAAGATCAAAGCTAGTCCCAAAAGAAGAATCCACTTAAGGAAGGTGTACGTCGAACGACACTCGTGAGAATTTTTCACCTCACAACTCAGTGTATACATGAAAGCGTTCGAACTCGTATGTTCTGTTCGCTGGACGGTGCACTACCAATCGAGTTGTTTGTTCATGTATCGGCAGTTTTAACTTACGGACGATGCATCCATCAGTTCCCAACTTACCTCCGTTTCGCCTAACAGCAGTTCTCTACTTTATAGGGGGGGCGAGATGACCCAAGTGGTTAGAGCGTGAATTTACTAACCGGAAGGTCCGTGGTTCGAATCCGACCTTCGCCACTCGACTTCCCCTGTCTAGGCTTGGGCAACCTGGCAGTATCCCAGCCCTCGTGCATCCTTCGGATGGCATGGCAGCTAGGCACCGGAAGGGTGCTACAGCTGAACGCTTCTTCTACTTTATAGTTTCCTTAGATAAATATCCGAACATGGTCTGCAACGTTAGTGAACTGCTACATTTTGAGGACAGGAATCTTACTTCGACTGTCGGTTGTGTAAACGGCCTGAAAACCATGAGTTGTGGAATCTCAATGACGCACGTAGCTTCCCAGAGTGGAATAGCTCATTCGTAATAGGGAAGGTAATCACGACCAGATGGTCACATTTTAGTTGCCCTGTATGGCGTCTGTCCTCATAGCTTGCAGCAGACTCAAGTCGAGTTTCACAACAACCTTCAGGGGCGTTCAGTTCCGTGAAATTTTTGTGCTATTATATTCTTTTTGTCAAACTTGAGTAACAGCACTAGGACCCCAAATTCAACCGGCCTTCGATGGTCTCTTCTAACTGAGTCCGTCTAGTCCTAAGTTTCACAGCTATTGTTTGAAAAGACCGTTCACTTCTAGGCACTTTAACCGAACAAAACTTTAGAGCAAGTTGCTTATCACTGTGATATAAAATCATTTCATTTTACTTTTTAACATCCTAAAGCGATAAAACATTCTTTAGAACAGTGTACTGACATTAGGCATATTTGGTATATTTGTGAACTCATGACAGGACGGAACACCTATGTTTTGAAGTACTGTTTACAACGGTCAGCCCATGTTAATGTGTCAACAGTGGCCAAGGAGACCATCATCAGTGAGTAGTTCATGAATCTTCAATGTGATTCGAAGCCAAAACCTTTCGCTTACTAGCTGATTATTATGTCATTTAGCTACACAACATAGAAGCTATGTCACCAACTTATGCCCAAATAAGAAATACTAGAATCTCCTTACCGCAATGGTAGGCGTAATTTCTTTTGCTGGATGTATAAGGATGGAATTTGGCGTAAAATATTCGGATTGTAGTTATATTGGTTGATACTTTAGTAGCCTGCGTGTCACTGTTTGGCTTACCAAAGAACGATTTTTCATCTACCGGTTACCACTAAACTACTAGGCCTCGCCGTTCGCTAACAAAGTATTGTACGGTCAACTCAACCAGCTTTCTGTTTCAAGCTCGTCCACTGTACAGCCTGAAGAACCGTTTTTTGACCACGTGGACAAACAGTTGCTGTCCAGCCACTGTCTGTCGATAGCAGTTTGCTACCAAAAGTGGGGTGAATGAATAACCCTTCGTCTCCTTTTTCTTTATTGATGCCACAAGTAGCTCAGGGATGTGATGTACAGACGGCAAAATACGACCGTGTGATTCAAATTTAAGTTGTTGCGCTGGACTACGAGATATTAGAAAAAACTTGTTGCGTAGGAAGAATCTACTAGCAAACGAAGAATACCGGGTTACAATTAAACAGCTGTCTTGTACTCCAGCAAAGACTTCCAAACCTCGGTTTGTAAGATTTCTTTATCTGTCTCACTCATTCTTAGTAGCAGAAGTGGGATTATTCATTCTTTGTACCATAAAAGCGCCCGTCAAATTGAAATCGATCAGTCTTCGACAACAAAAGTCTTATGAATATTTAAAACCGTCTGTCTCTGATGCAGTACATTTGACAATCTGAATTGTTTATACACCGGCCGGTGATATAACCCATTGGACATAAAACCTTTGTATAAGTTGAGGTTATGTGCACTGGAAATGGTCCGTGGCACATGACGGTTTCATCTAGAGAGGTGAACTCTGTAATTTATCTTAACCCTGGAGCTTGAAAATGTGTCCTAGACCGACAGACGAGTACTGATTATTTTTAGATGAAAAGGGGTTGGTTTATCGAGTAGGGCCCGTCCTACTCAGTTTATGATACTAGGAGCTCTCTGTGTCAAGAAGGTCTCAGTAATTGAACATGTGTCGACCGAACGTAATCACTGCAGGTGCGTAGATTCTGCAGGGATCCTTTAAAGGAGTTAAATATAAAGTTTGGCCTCGACCTTAGACTGCTCGCAAAGTTATGTAAAAATGAGAAAAATTGAAAAAAATTAGGAACCCCTGTCAGACAAGCAGTGCCACTCCTTGTCCACTCCAACGTGCTACCATCAACGGGGTTGCTAGATTTGTGGCATGCTTGGCAGCGGATAATCGGAGGCCCATACGACTTTCGTTGTTGTTGTTCACCGACACACAATGGTCCCCTTTTCAGTCCGAGTCTCTTCACGCAACTACTTTGTACGCATGATACGATTTACACAGTTTACTTAGAGTTTGATTTCAAAACCATCCGTGGTCGCATATCTTGTGCCCCCGAATTTACGGATTTTTGATCCAGCTGGCAAGCAGTGACAGTAAATGACAAGGCAACCAATATGTCTTGGAAATCCAATATCAGCGCACCGTCGGCTACTAAATTCGAGTGCTTCCTTGGCAGACGTGACAACGTGTGGCTACTCAGATGACGCGTTTCATTCCAGAATTGTTATTTACTCATTTGAACAGCTACCTTTAAATGATTTGTATTTCAACATTCATAGGCTCAACGTTGACCATTCTGCGTTCGGATATCGCGCTTACGGAGTAACTGAAACTCGTATCCAGTAGATGCTGTTCGTGACACACAAATCCGGAATCCCATGCTTCCTGAAATCATACCAACTCCATTATCATTTCGTACGAACTTTCGAAACTGGTCCATTAGACCTGCAAATTTCCCAGTGGCGAGCGAAAGTCACCTTTCAGCTACATCCATAACTTATTTACATGGCGGCACCCAGCACCATTTACCTTTCAGCCGCGTAGATTAAGTACAAGCAGTTCGGGTCAACTGACTTCTCCAATGGCGGTCTCTTAAATGCAAACTTTAGCGACTCATTTGAAAGTCTTTCTCCACGGAATGGTGGCGTTCGTACAGTACGGAACTGGAACCTTAAACCTTGTTTACGTCTAAAGTACTTGACAATGGTGTTAATATTAGCTAGTGATAAATGCACTCATCCTATGTGCGTAATCGAATATCGTGAAAAAAGCCAAAACATTTCAGATTAATGGGTTTATGTGTATGTGTGGAACCGGCGCCTTCAGTTTTTGGTAGGTGTCCACATACTCGACAATCTTGAATGCTCCGAGGAAGTAAACAATCATAATATTTCCAACAATATAGAACCAAAACGGCTTTCGCGTTGGCATGCGTTGTAAGATGTTTGACTTATACGATCAGGTTCGCTGGCTTATGTGTGCCCTGGTGGGAGCCAAATTATATAGTTACCAACGGACTTTCAGTTTATTTGGTTCTTTTCTTCACTGAAGGATTTATCCTCTCTCCATTCCTCTATCCACTCTAAGTACCGGTGATGTGTTTAACAATACCAGCCGCAGTAAGGAGCGATATTTTTTGAAGAGAGCGGGATAGGGTGTAATCTCACTGAGTGAACTCACTCTACTGACCGATTTATATTCAGGTCACGTAGTAGTAGATGGGTTTTTCGTTAGGACCCGTAGGTTTGTCTTTGGGATCATAGAATCATAATGAAGTGGATTTGGATGACTTCGCTAATGAAGCTGTCTTTAAGGGTATTCTCCCAAGTCACTCACCAACGAAACAATCTCGATGGGATAATCAGACTGTTTTGGAAAGTTTTTGTTGCTTCATTCAGAGTTATTCAATGTCCTCGTCGAAACTGTTTCATTCTGTCGGAGGTTTGCGACCACGCATAAAAGGCGAAACAGGATTTCCATGCACGTTTCGTACTTAGGACGCAGAATGACTGCTTTCTTGGCGCCCAGCGAGACACACGAGTGGGGCTTTCCGCCAAAAATTTCATGACTCACTGGATGGTTGGCGACGGCAGCCGTCCCCGAAATTGGCGTTCAGAATACTCGGCGGAAACTTAGTATCACACTATGCAGATGGTTTGTAAATTTAAAAAAACACGTAAAATGTACGTTAAAATTTCTGAACTACTTTAAGAATTCGACTGAATGACCAACAATCAAACCTGCTGTGAGCGAGTTATTAGTTTCGGTGGAATTATTTGTTAATTTTCCACCAAGGTGCAGGCTGATGGATTTTTTAAAAAGGTGTGAATAAAATAAAACGTTAGGGGGCACTGGTGTTGACTAATAATCACTTTTCACTCGAATGTAGGGAATTTATTGAGGAAAGATGCACTTGTGATTGCCAGATCACCTGTATATTCCTGTGCTTTTTATCTCGTTAGAAAATGTACGTCTAATACTGTTTTTTACGCAGAATTTTTCTGTCTGAAAACCTCAGTGGAAGGTCATTCGCTTTCCACCACTTGGTGTACCCACATAGGCGCGTCTGGTCAGAGTTTTCCTATCACAATGCATCCAAAGCAGGTTGACCGTGTCGTACACTCCGGTTCCTTGCACTGATAAAGTAAATAGACACATGTTGACAGACCACCACAAGTACAATTCGATCGAGTGTACCCAAGCGCAAAACCTGATTGTCAATCAGACGTGCAAGTACTGTCAAGTCCTTTTCAAAATGAACGTTTGTCACACGTTGGTTTAGTCCAGTGACTTAAATTTGGAAGTAGTCCTTAGTGGAAAAATTTCAAAGAATCGGGGGAACTGAAACACCATATCTGAGGGCATTAGGTACTGGTGGTCTGATTCATTTGAAATCAAATTCAACTGACATCGGTCCTCATTAGTCTGTCCTTGTTTTATTTTTCATAGATACATACACCCAGGTAGTAGTGGCAGAAAATGGTGGAAGGAGAGAGCTTGGAGCCAGCCAGTGAAATCCTACATGGGCAAAAGTTTAGAACGTTGCAAAAAAGTTAGCAAATGAGGCCTAAGTAGATTTGTATGACCCGACGTGCACGGGCCCATGGTATTCACCGGTCGAAAAACTGCGAATCTGTTTCAGCTCAGATGTCGTCCTATGTGGACGGCGGGGGACAATTTGTACTGAAAGACCATAACTTTCGTCAACTGATCGGCTGGTGAAGGGCACGAATAACATTAGAGCTTCGGGAGATTCGCGGTGTTGGCGATTCACACTAGTGATAAAACAGCCGTACAACGCCTCTCGACCTTGTAACATCGACTGGCCAAACTTAGAGAATGAAGTATTGACTGGAAAATTGTCAATCCCTTGCTTAAATTTTCTTCAACACTGCGCGAAGCAGAGACTGTCGGTGAGAGGACGAAGATTTTCGCTGCGGAGTTATTTATTAGAAAATGCCAACTGAACAGTTACAGACTGTTGGACAGGGGAGCGGAACTCTCATCTGCATCTTCTTTACAAAATTAAATTTCCATTTTCATCTGGAACGCGTCTTCCTGAACTTTCCTGGATATTCATTGACTGTTACTCGATTGCAAGCCAATTCTATAGAGCGACTCCACAAATTCCGTAATGGATCCCACTTTCCAAGAGACGCAAAGCGGAATCACGAGAAAACATACTACTCGCATGCCCCCATCAGTAGTATCACCGTTATACCGGTAGTATATGAATTGAATGACACGGGCTGATGAACGATCAGTTGACACAAAATTTCACACCCATTCTGACCTGACCTGAAATGAAATGAAGGTGTACACCACAGTCGTTTATTTATTTAGCTTACTGTGCAGCCAAATTCGATGGTTTGTACCTCGGTGTAAAACCGTTTTATGTGTCCCGCCTATAGTTCATCGTCCTCTAAAGCGACTGGCTTTTCGTATTAGTTAGAATGCATTCCCTCGATCTACCGAAAATATAAGTGGGAAATGACTGTTCTCGATGACATGAAGGCATAGAATGGTCCGTCTTTGATTGAGAACTATTGTTTTTTTCAATAAGTGTGCAGTAGCAAAACGCTTGGTGCTGTTTTAGCGAGACCGATCTAACTCCGACGAGAGCCTATTGTCGGTTTCTTCATTCAGAAGTCAACAGGTGTAGGTATCCTTTGAATTTCGGTGAATATTTATTGTCTTACATGAATGCCAGTCTGTGAGTTCATTGACCCATTTGCCTACTGAATTAATATGAACAAGAGATAAAATGTATCTCCGGATTACGGCACTCAACTGAATGCTCAATCTAAGGATCATACTAATTTCAGATTGACAAGGAATCAAGATATCCCAGATATCGGGGCAACGGTAGAAATACACACTTGCCCACTAGGCATAGAGTGATCATATCATATGTTTTGTCTTTTGTGCCGACAGTCCACCGTCACGCTAAATTCAACACTGACTAATTGACTCAAAGAAACGTAAGAAGACACTGACTTCTTTGTCCTGTTCCGCCAATAACGAATCTTTTCAGTGGTATCAGTATGTTTTCCACTGAATTCTACTAGAATTAATCACCTGTTTTGTAGACAGGATTATCCCAAACACACGCGAAGCTCTAATAAGTTGGAAATGGGATGAACAGTGCTGCCCAATGACTAAAGCAATAGTGTTCACCGCTATTCATTGCCCCATTTGTGAATAACAACCATGTTTATGTAAACATTGGTTCTGGTCGATACGTAAACAGTCATGTGCTTCGGTCAACCGTCACCCATACAGTATTTGATAATCAGGACAGTTTCGCTAAAGACAAATATTATTCTTGTAGATTATTCTGACTTCTCTTGGAAAGTATATTAACTGAATTATGATTATTCGTGCATACCTCGAGTGTCAAGCTGCTCATGTGTTGTTCACAACATCCGATTAGTTGCAGCAGTCAGTAGACACTTCACGACAAGGCCATGGGAACAGTCACTTCATTCTCGATTCTATGAACTGGGCGTCTTCTGGTAACTAAATGAAATTCCAGTCAGAAATCGAACAGGAAATTTGCAGGAATCTTTCTTTGTTGGCCTGAGAAAAAAGCTGAGTTATGGGGAACTAGCATGTGAAAATTACAGGGCCGTTTCATGATGCCCCTTCCTCGAAAGAGACTTTGGTTATTCGATTTATACACTCACTTGCAAACAACTTTGGTTTTGCAAGAGGCTCACCTGGAACCCAGGTGAATCTCTAATTTGTGATTCCCTTCTCAACTGAATGTGCTGCATCAAGCAATCTCGTGTTTCAGTTGGTACGGTATTCAAGTTGTGTCGCAATACATTGCATACATGTTTCGCACTACTCATAAGGTTGCTGAAAACCCTTCGACAGCCTACGATCGGTATCGTCCTTCTTGGGGCGGTTTGACAAAAGATTTCGCGTTGTTAATTACGTCTGTTGAGAAGCAGGCTCTTTGATTGCACAACCCTGCACAATTTCCCGATATAGATTCAAGCACCACTTAGTCCCTTTCTCCGACGCCGCTTCGTTTCCCACTTTCGGAATGGTATGCTCACGAAAATACAATGTGTGGAAATTGTTACCAGCTTTTGTGGACCTTGAGTATACACTTTTTGCGATGATTGTCGCGTTGTCTGTCATAATCTTTCCTTCTGACGGTAAAACACTTTTCAGAGTGAGGTGTACAGCGTTCTTTGATGAGTTCGTGATCGTCGGAACAACCAGTACGGACAGTAGTAGATTAACACGACTGATTCACGGTTTAGCCATACTGTTGGTTGGGTCCATTCGGAATGATTTTGGTAAGAAGAGTTACGTTTGGTTTACGTATGGACGTTTCCTCGTTTTTGACCTCAAGAACGCTGCAGCCTAAATGGCACCTTATTTCATGAACTGACAGTTTTCATGACGTACGCTACACAATAGGTGTATCATGTCAACGGTCTAAGAAGCAGGTTATTACCCGTTTGGTTTCGTTGAATCATCCCACAATGATCGTTACACGAATCTTCTGCCTCAAGTGTATGATATCTTAGCGACGCTAGCATCTGGTAGTGTATCTTCTTTGCTGTCCTGTCCGAGAAAAGACGTTTCAATGGGTATATTCGACAACATACCTACGAACTGCTAAATTAAAGGCTTAAGCCTGCGATGAGTCGTTCACTCCAGTTTTGAAAGAACGCTAAACTCACACTGCACTGTTTCTTCTCTGTTTTCAAAACAGGTCCTTGATACAAAAATTCGAGTTGATCAAGATCTTCGCGACAGTGTTCTAGATGATTTGAGGCTTGAGATGAACTACTGAACTGGAGCTCAATCATCATCGGTCATCCGGGCTGATTGACTACAAGTCTCAACGGTCCAATCCGTCGCAAGTACACAATCTCAAAAGAAAACTGCCATCCACATATTTACAGCCGTCTCTCCCCTACATCTTGCTCACACCTTTGCAGGGCAGATTCATACGGTCTTCCTTTTCATCCTGGATCCACACCACGCATCCCGAATGTATCCATATGATTCCCAACTTGACCCTTGATGCCTTGTGACAACAGTAGAGATCGTTTTCTATTACATATTATTTGATCCCACCCGAATAAGAATACTTACTGCGTATGAACTACAATTATGGTCAACACTCGATATAACTGACGCCTGCTATGGTGGGATGCAGGACTTAGCCTTTGCTTACAAAGCCTTGTCATAATGACGTGGGGATTCGAGTGGTTTCTATTCGTTTAGGGTAAGACTAAGACAATCACATTAGTTAACGCGAGTCCGAACTCCGTTCAGCAAAGGTGAGGTCTACTATTGAATATTACCCTGCTCGTTGGAGAAAATTGCGTTTCGGTGTGAGTGAATGTGGTGACCACCGATCATATCATCACATCATAACCGATGGTGATCCACCATTCCGAGTTGCATTATGGTGAATGTCTCACCAAGATTAATTTTGTTACATGTCCCGGAAATGCCTCGTATTCGACCTATCCTGACCTCACTCCAGGGAGTAGATGATAAAACTCTGCCGACCACGAGCTTACTTTCGTTCTCGCACCAAGAAATATTCGATTAGACAAGTTGGTTGGAAATTGGTAGGAGAACGCTACTGATTTCAGCCAACATCCAATAAAGCCACGAGGTCCATATCCTAAAGAGTGCACGATTTGACATTACTACCTTCTAGACGCCCAACTTCTCATGCTTTTGTCAGTTGTATCGGAGAAGATTAAGTGAGGAAAATGCCTGTTCATTATAGATGACGCCTCGCTATTCAAAGCCAACGAAAATTCCAACTGAATTTGCTGCACTAGATATAGACCATAATGAAATTATCTGCTACCGAACCTGAAGCCTGGTTGGTATTTACGTGACATCAAAAGGTAGAAATGATTGATCCGAGAGATGAGTTATCAACTATCTGAAGTTTACGATTTCAAGTGTAAGACCAGATAACTCGTTTCACTTTGTGTTGGCTCAAGACAATCGCCTAAACAGTAGTTTCTAAATCTTGGTAGTTCGGATGCGTTGACTAGCCATTAATCGGGTGGCAGTTGATCTGTTCGCCGGCATTGGCGATATCATCACATTGTGATGAAAAGTTTGCAAGCTAATTACGGCACTGAAGCATCGGTGTTGAACACTGATGTCATACTGTCGATGAATGAATGATGAATTGCAAGCTAATTACCAAGCTAGGCGAACAGATCAGCTTCCACCTGATCAACGGTCAATTGTTTAGATGGCACAATAGATGCAAACTGACAAATGCCACTCGAACATTAGATATTTGCACTCTGGCTCATCCGGTGACCCTACTCTTAAACCCCAAAAGTCTTCTGAACCAAGTAGATGCTCGGCAACCTCCAGCGCTTTTTCTTGAAATGCATGAACATATTCGGAATGTGGTCTCGTCAGATATGCCTTTGAACCTCAGATGCCATCCCAAAGGAGTTATGCGCCTGAGCAACGTTCGTTTGGCCTTCTCGGAAAGAGAAACGTTATCAGTGCACTGAAGTTTCTTGACGGCAGTTATTCGAATCGACTATTTAGCGTACAAGTTGCATCAGTTTCAAACGAAGGGAGCTACAGGACGGAGAGACACCATTTTGGTTAGACTTTATGGATGCTTATTGTCCATAACTGAGGATATTGTGTTCAAAACTCCAAGGAATCCTGTTGAACAAGCAAGTTTGGAAAGCAATTTTTCGTTACTGTGAGGTTCAGTGTAGTTATCGTAGCGAATGCTTTGAAATAATTTAGGGAGTATCTGGTAGATGTTCACAAATTTCCTGTATCCCCAAATCAACTGATTGTAAAGTTGGACTTATCCGGTACTAACTCCAACAGCTAGATTCACATAGAACAGTGGGTGGGGTGCGGTCACCTATAAGAAGTGATAGCTTAAACGATTTGTCATTAGATACAGTAAATACTGTGAAACATAAACAGCACTCTTCCACTGCCTAACTACCAAGCACTAAAGCCAAAAGATTGAGACTGCCAGGTTGTCAAAACCCGGACAACAGAAGTCAGAAATTCAGATGAGTTCAAACAAATTGCGTTTGGAAAGATGGTTTGCGTTCCAATCTGAGCCTTCCTGAACATAATCCAGGATTAGCCTAAGCAAGTAGGCTCTCGTGAATGTGTAAGAACTTTTCAAATTTGGACTCTTTTTTTTGATGCCCTGTAGATTAGTACCCGATAGCTCTCGAAGCTTTTTCTTGGGCAATGAAAAGCAAACTGCTGCTATCCGTCGACCACAGCAACGCAAAACAGGTGTGCAATCACAGTCGGTTTCCGGAGGCAACAAATTGGACTTCTAAGCTTTGCTATAGCTTTCTGTCTGGTACCATAAACGGTGGCTACATACCTAAATTCATGAAATTTTCACGGATCAGGTGCCTTGATTTTGTGGGTTATTCCGTCGAGCCAACAAACAGCTTAGGTTAGTTAGGCTTCAACATTCATACCCTGAATTGGATGGCCCGAATATAAATTTGGGGGGTAGTCGGTTACCGACTTCCTGATAATCCCAACATATGAAAGCGACGGTGGGCCGTCGAAAAGACTTCAGCAACCTTACGAGTAGTGAGCTGTCAGGAACGCATGGATTACTCTTTGAAGTAGTGCTATGCTAGTGGACCGATGAATCCAACTTACTTATAGTATCACCTCGTTTATGGATATCTTCGGCCGTTTTGTGGCCTTTCTCGGCAGAACTTCCTTTTCGTGTTTTACATTCAGTCACCGGCTGTCCTAGCAGAAATACATGATAACACATAGTGCATGGGCTAGTGCTCGGGCGTGAACACAGTTCATTTAAATGCCATGGTTTTTAGGATGTCAACTTGTTAAAGTTGTCAAATCACTGAGATTTTAGTGCTATTTTGTCAGCCCATCAAGGAAACTGCATCAACACTTGATTCGAACACAGTTTCATTTATCAAAAAGGGATAAAAGCCCCTCCGATAAATTAATGAAACCTAGAAATTCAGAACGCAGAATTCTAGTTTCCCACCGAACTTTTCAATACGTAATTAGAGACAGTTTCTAGAGACAGAGACAATTTCTAAGTCACAAAAACGAACGGGTTTCCAGTTATCGGATATGAAATAGAAATGACGAACCAGCTCCGCGGTTATTCTCGGCCCTTCAACAGCCTGAGCGCCGCCTGCGGCCAACACTTCGAAGTCTCTTCGCCACTTACGCGTTTCAAGTAGTCTGTTCAAAGAGGAAGTCTCACAGTCTTCCATCTGATAAGCTATCCCTTAAAGGGCTTCCCAACATCAAATCAAGTTCCGTAAAACTGATTATTGAAGAACTGTAGTGGCAAATCCTACCTAAATCAAGCTGAATTTGGTGCGGATCAACCAGTCATGTTCGGATGGTATGGAAACTAGCTAATGACCCGGATATATAGATTCAGCTATTCCTACGTATCGATGAGGGGCAAACTGCCGATGACTCTCATAGAGGAAGAAGTAGCTGTGTTTTTCAGCACGAGCTGTTCTGCAGGGCGAAAATTCAGCTCAACTTTAAAGATCTTCTGATTACCCGCAAATATTTCTCTGGAAATCTCCCCGACCGGAACACGCAGTGTACCTACACGTGAAGGTTTACAGCTTTTTAGAGTGCAGATTATAATGGATTTAAAAGTTGTAGATGTGGCGGAATATAGGTAGCTCGGTTGATCTGCCTGAGTTTTGGCCTGTCCGCCGAGCTTGGCAATTAAAACTCAAACGTTTCATCAATGCGAGAGTCAACCCTGGTCATGACTCCGGAAGCTGCATACCTTGTTGAACCGGATTGATGCATGTAGACTGTTCGACACAGTAGATTGGATATTCAAGTAACGAGCTACTTTAGGGTAAACAGATGTATACAAGCTCAAAAAAATTAGAAGCTAGTTGCAGTAAGGAACCCATCTTCCATATTCCGGACTTAGCCAGATTAATTTGATATGATACTTTGAGGGAATATCTGTTTAACTATGCCTACCTACCCAGGTCCGAACTTTTTGTCCCTCATGTGTGTTTCGCAAACCTCGAACATATGCTACTGTGCCAATGGGTGGTCCATCAATGTGGGACACTGAGGCAGATATCAAAGTATCGGTAGAAGTAGGATGAAAAACTACCTCACTATGGTGTGGATTGCCTTGTGGGAAACAATGAGGAAATAATTGTTAGTGCCTACCATATTGTAGCAACTCAAATAATACGCATGGAAAACTTTGGCAAGTTGGCATACGATTGCCGAAGATAGTGGAGTTGCGCGCGCTCTTTGTCAGCTCAGTCGTCTATTTGAAAGAAGCAGAAAGAACCAAGTAATTGCCAGGTAGAAGTGCACCGGATTCGTTTTACTGGCTGCAAAACACGGTAGAATTGAGACCAGGTGAATTGTCAGCCTTAGTCATGTTCGTCCAGTGCTTATTTGGGCGCTGCAGTCTATAGGTTTGTTTGAGACTGACTTCTCGAATGGTTCTTAGGCTTTTCCAACTAGCTGAAGGGACTATAGTTGGTGTATTAAAGAGGCTATCTGAATTGGGGACCTATGAATCAGTTGTGGGTGTGTATCAAGTCATTGTTACTACAGGACCGAGGTAATCAGGTGAGGCAGTGAATGAAGAGGATTTGACAAGATAGCATAAGCATCCCATAGAGGAAATCTAGAAACATTTTGTTGTAAAAGCAGTAATTTTCTACCTAATTTCGTCCACTTTCGTTGCACTTCATCACCGCTAGTTTAAAACTTTCGCTTTCTAACCAACGATTCGTTTAATAAACTGGCCCATTTAACCGTAAACTTCTCACGGAACAGATAAAGCATCACCAATGTGCTGTTGGAGCGTGCGTGTTCTGAATTTTATGATTTGCTCTCATCACCGATGAATTCGCCACAGTATGACTATCTCTGGACTGAAAACGACACGTCATGCCTATGGAGAGGTTTGACAGTGTGCTCATGCACATTTTAGTAGACGATGTACGGTGAAACCTGCAGGTCAGCTGCCATGCGGATATAGTGAAAAAACCTATACGACGGTCGGAGCCCAACCACAAGCAGTAGCTCCAGAGCGCGGACGCTGCAGGGGTGCTATAAGCCTTCGCCTGCCTTCAGATGTACATCAACAAATGTCACCACTGCTTCTTTAATTTTCGAGACAGGATGGTAGACATTGACGGGACGGAGCAAAACCAGCCACTAAGACGAAACTATCATTGTAGAGAGGTGTATTGCGTAGGGGTTTTACCGATAAGCCGGCTCAGATTTTCACCCTTGGAAACACAGGCGACAAGTTGGAATGGATATAAAAGAACAAACGGATGCCGCCACTTTCGATCTGATGCGTAAATACTATCAATAAATTAATTCGGGAAAGGGCCGTATATGCGTTGGATTCCTGTCTCAAAAGTGTACCACAGCAGAGGCTCATGCTTAAGGACAACAGGGGACAAATCTCGACAACCAGAAAGTTAGTATACGAGACCTGCGCAGTGCGATATTGACAAATCCGATTGGCTTTGGGGAGAATGGGTGATGGTTAACGATCTTCGGCGCATGGTCTCAGCTCCGATGAACTAATCTGTTCTAATGTACAACGACAAGGGTATCCACCAAGAAGACGGGGGTAAACTAGATTTGAACCTATCTTATCAGAGATCCAATGTCCTGTTCAGGTATACAGATACAACCTTGGATGTTCAGTGCCCTTAGGTGGGCTACTCGCATAAACAGGTGCCCAAGTGATGATGTGGTTGGAACTGTGGTGGTCGAGATACATAAGACAGTTGACGAGGGAAATGTCCCAAAGAGTTCTGAACAACAGGACACTTGGACGTAAAACCGGGCATGATGGTTTATTGACTCAGTCAGAAATACGTTATGTACACTGAATCGTAAAGACAAGTCGGTAGGTTTCTTCAACGCATGTGCTTCAACATGTGACGAAGTTGATCCCTCAGTGCAACCTGTTTGTCCCGAAAACTGCGCTTGGCCTTTTGGCGTACTTTGTGCTTGATCATCTGGAATGTTTTTCCCTTAGACTTTTCCCGATTTGTTGTACTGGCATGCGGGTTCATTCGGTTAACCTGTAAAAGAAAAAAACGTCAATGTAAGACGAATAAACGTATCACAAGGGCATTCCAAAAATGGAGCCCATCAAACGACAGATACAGTGGTATCTACTATTTTTCTACCAGATGGGAGAGGAAATAACCTTCAAAAATGCTTGAGAAGAGCAAATATAAAACCCAACCAAAGATAGCGCAGTATTAAAGCTGAGAAGTCATTGGACGGAAGATCTGCTATCCGAATCAAACTCCGTTTTTTTATTGCTAGTATCTGTGTTTGTGGAACCTAGCAGCTGTGTGCCGAAAGAACACCATCTTAATAGAAACCTGGAGCAACATTCGCGCTTCACTGACCTTTCAAGGAAAACTGTGACAACCACAACACTGTTAATGATGGGTAGTTATATAGATTTGGACAATTTTGCAGTAGCTCAGTCCACATGCCTCCTTCGGGTGGCGTGGCAGGTATGTATCGAAAGGGCGTTATAGCTGAGCCATTATTTGTTTTACAGACAGATATTTGAAAAGAAACTATCGTCCGCAGCCTTTGCGGGGGCGCGATGGCTCAAGTGATTAGAGCGCGAATTTACTGACCGGAAGGTCCGTGGTTCGAACTCGAACTCAACCTCTGCCTCTTGACTTCCCCTGTCTAGGCTTGGGCAACCTGGCAGTATCCCAGCCCTGGTGCTTTCTTCTGGTGGCAAGGCAGCTGGGCACCGAAAGGGTGTTGCGGCAGCTAAGCATAGGAAGGGTGTTGCAGCTGAGAGACAGCCTTTGCATGGTAAGTTTGCCATTCCCACTGAGTCACAACGGGATAGCACCATCCTAAACTACGAGCACCACAACAGATAACCTTGTTCTGGCAATGCTCGTTTCTTCAAACTGACCAAGAAAAGGGCGTTGGTCAACCTACTTTCCTGTTTTCTGTAACACTAATCTCTACCAGTTGTTACGTGATCTTGTAGTGAAGGGGTAATTCAATTCAATCGCGATAAAAATTAACGCTCCAAGAACAGAATGAGATGAAACAGAGAGTATACTTGGCGTCCGGTTGAATTACATGGCTAGATAAGTCAAGAAATTTTAGTTCAGGGGTAATTTTGTGTGCATCTATGCTGAGAGACTTAAAAAGTTAGGCAGATAATTGAGTTGACTTCTTCCAGTAGCAACGACGTCTGAATGATGACATGGGAAGGGGTAACCCTAGTATACTTTGGATGTCCTACGAGTATCGGCAACCCCGGCTGTCTTCTTGAAACAGTTCATCGGTCCGTCGTCCTTACACGAAGTCCAATCTCCACCCACGACTCAAAGTAGCAACCGAATGACAGCGCCCACATCCTGGTCGGCTTCAGAATCAAGCGATGGTAATCAAACATCTGTGGTGCGTATTCTGAAGAAACATTCGGTAGACTGTGCAGATGAGAACAACAGTTAAATTAAAATGCTAGGGCATCAGATCAACAGCCGTCCCGAACTCCTTTTGTCACCTCACAGGTGGGGATTTGTGGCATAAATGCTACAGGTGAATGTACGGAAGAAAATCCAAGTAGTTTCTAAGGACGCTTCTCACACAAAACTTGCACTAACGTGGGGCTAGAATTTGGCCGGCAAAGTAAGTATCCCAGGTTCGCATCGCAGAGTAGTGAATTACCTTGTAGCCGTACTTTTCGCGACCAGTCCGACCCTCTTCAATAGCCTCCAATCTCTCAGCCTTGCTTTGTCGAGGCCGTTTAACTAGGCGAGTTATGGCGCTCATAGTAACGAGTTGGTTGTTGCCCTTGTCTCCGTCAGCTTCATCTTCTTCAGATTCAATTTCAAGGAATTCGGAGTCGTCCTCAGCCTTTCGCTTGTTTCGTGAACCCATTGCAGCAAAGCGCTTCTACAAAGTGATAAAATACAGCGAGGGAACAAAGAGATGTGTCGTCAAGCGATGTAGCTAGATTGGGTCGGATTACAAAGACTTGAGTGCAGTAAACGTATGAGCACGGTGGACAACTACCAGATGACAGTGACAAGCTCTTCTAAACCCTAATTCCACCCAAATAACTGAACTTTATGATGGCGCCCCTGTAACACAACAACTGGGGTGTTTCGATGTCAATCTACCGCACTCGTACTCTGACAAGATCATGTAAATTCACCATAACAGCCCCCTAAACAGCAGTGCAAAATGAACGATGACAGTATGTTGAAAGGAGCACATTTGTCGGAAAAAAAGTGAACATAGGTTGGTTTGGAACGCCAGGGCCGGTCATACCAAAGAAGTGTCCTACTGCGGTAAAGGTATATTAATAGCCTGCCCCGAAAAAGTGACGACACAACTGAGTTGACTGTATGAAGCTTTACGAACAGTCCACGACAAACATTATTGTGACGCGTTTTACACTACTCACAAACCTTCTAGTACAGTGGAAAGTGAGCTATTATTTAAAGTGGTATCTCAAACTGGTGGTGGGTGTCAGAACCTGCATGAGCAGCGGGCTGAAATGACCGAAAATGGCAACCAGGGTAAAGCTATCCCTATTCCTATAAAAGATCACCACTGATCGCAAGTTAGAACGCAAATCGCCTAGGGAGCATAATGGGGCAGACATCTGGTCTCGAAACGCGGGGATTTTATTCGATACAACTAAGTGGCAAGCTTCGGTCAGTGAACAGTGGGATTGGGCCACTCCAATAGATCAGTTAACCTATTTTTTTAGTAGGCTAGCGAATCAGGATGTGGCCTAGTCTCACTACGATCCGTGTGTTTTAACGCGAGATTGCAACATCACTTGATTTGAACCAGGGTGATTGCTGTATACTCAAGAGAACGATACCAATTTAGACAGGGGCGAGATAGCTCAAGTGGTTAGAGCGCGAATTTACTGACCGGAAGGTCCATGGTTCGAAACCGACCTCTGCCTCTCGACTTCCCTTGTCCAGGCTTGGGCAACTTGGCAGTATCCCAGCCCTCGAGCTTCCTTCGGGTGGCATGGCAGCTAGGTACCGGAAGGGTGTTACAGCTGAATGATTTTTTAGGTAGTACTACAGTACTTGTTCACCATGTTATCCCAAGTACACGCCCTCCTTCGAGAGAAAAGAGCTTCAATGTGTCCAGAAAAGCGTGACAGACACAAGCATTCTATCTATAACCTGATTTTCAGGAAACCCTGTAGAAATTTCCGAAAAGCACTACGAAATTCCTGTGAATTCGCGTTATTTGATACATAAGCAACGTGTCCTGAAGTGTCGCTGACATGTACTGCTTTCGGTAACCAGCAAATGCAGCCACAAAATGAGAAGTAAAAAGGAGAATTCTTGAGGGATTTCTGTGAAGCCACAAATAAGAAAAAGGTAAGTGCTCTCTGGTTGTGGCACGCACTTGTTTGTTCAGTTGATACCGCCGCATTGCCTCAAACTCTTCCTGAGTGAAAATCCGAGAAGATGCGATTTCTAGAGCCTTTGACGCAAGCTCACTTGGATCAATCTTCGGCTTTGCAGTGTCCGAGACCTCGGCTTCATCATCATCCGAAGACTGTGGAACGTCTATCCAACCGTCATCCTTTTTCTGTACATTCTGCAGAGACTTGTCTACCCTTGGTATAGCAGTTGCGTCTTGTTTAGTATCTTCGGGGCCTTCCAGATCCTTAGCGTCTTCATCATCACAGTCATTGTCAGATTCACTATCGTCACTATCGGAGCAAGATTCCCACGATCCCTCTGTAGATGTCAGACATACGAAAATTAAGATAATAAAATCTTTGATGCAGCAGAATAGGATAAAAGTCAGTGGCAGCTAACTTTTCTTATATTGGCAGTATAAAATACAAACAAAACATCGGGACGACGAAATCCCTGTCAAATTCGCACGCAACTTATGCGGTGTTCCCGATGCGTGTTTTCTGGGCGCCGGAGGACAAACTGGACAGCACAACATGAATTCAGCCATACGTTTACCACGAAGCATGACATGTCACTGGGATAGAAAAGCTCACCTCCATCACATGCCTCAGAATCCTCATCATTGGCGTCAGCATCAACCCCTTCCGCGTTTTGTCTTTCCTCCGTGTTCTTCGTTTCCTTGTCATCTTTGACAATTCTCTTGCTGCTACCACTATTATTGCGATCTTCCCGTTTTGACTGTTTAGCCAGAGTTTCAGCCAGAACCAGAGCTTCCGCTCCCGGCACGAATTTGGCAGCCGTGGTCTGACCAAAGGAAAGGGCGAGGCCACTGAAGGTTTGCCCTTCGATCATGGTCTCCATTTGAGCTTCTGTTGGACGCCCACGTTCTTTCCGTGGTAACGCAGAGGGATTGATCTAGAAAATAGAGGTGATCGTAAGTAAGATGACTCCTGTGCACGGAAAAGCAGAAAGAAGTCTAGGAATACTACTTACCTCACGATACAGTCGAATAAGCGACCGAGCAGATGCCACCACGTTTTTGTTCTTGTACGTTCGATACTGAACCAGGTCTGACAAAAGATCCTGAGATATCCCATAAGGACAACGAGCACATATTTCACGAACCGCGTTTAGTCCAACGGCAATGGCTTCTGAGGATGCGCGCTCTGTGACAAAGTTGTCCGCAATAGTACGGAGGACTGGCTCCATAACCTATAGGAATCAAGACGCTTAGATTAGGTTGCAATGGATGCGCGCCGATTTGTCAGTCAGAGCCCTATTCTCATTAATTCAGGAAAAAACCACCAACTGCACGAAAAGCCAACAACACTGTTAGATTAATGATAATGGGACACAAATCGTGGTTTGTGAATGCACCTTTCCTTCTAATGATGCAGTCGAGCTACCCACGCTACCAGCGTGTATCGTTGAACTAGTCCAGAACGAATCAAACATCCGAACAAACTTGTGTAAAAACTGACAAGCGTGAATCAGCAGCTTCATGATAATCAAGTAAACCGGTTTCTAGGGGAAGAAACCATCGATTTGTTCAGTGAGTAGAGTAAGGAGTATGGCGGCGTAAGCAGTAAGAAGCGCATAGGACATAACCGAGTCCTAATCCCCTTTACATCATAACTAATTTGACATTGACTTCAGCATGCAAGAATTCTTTCACATTTACTAACATCGGACCACGAAGCTAAAATCTTATCCCACATACCAACGCTAATAGCGGGCACCACTGAAGTGACTAGGGAGGAGCTACGACTTCAAACAAATACAATCGAACAAGTGCGAAGTGAATGAATAATCAACCTACCAGAGTATTTGAAAAATTCACCGTCAAAAAAGCTAGCTGGGACGGTTTCCTGAACAAATCCTATAACGGACTGCAGTACTACTGAATACCAAGTATGTTTCACTCTAAATACCAGTGGGCATCATAAGGGCCAAAAATGGATGTAAACAAACGACCCCAAGCGTAGATTTCCAGCACCCCTACGGCCGACAGGTTACTCACTAAACAGCAGACTTTACAAAGATACCACGTCAGAGACGGTGACCAATCTCTCCCCAAAGTACGGTGTTTAGCAATACTCCTTAAGTGATTTCGTTCGAATTTAGTCATAAAAAACCGCAATGGGACGGCTTGGATGTGAAAAAAACGTACATCCGGTGGAACCTCGTCGTGACTGGCCTGGGCGGTGAACAGCAAAAGACGAGTCACTTCTGCAAGAAGAAAGTGAGAGTACAAATAAGTCATAAGTACTGAGCATAGCAGTTTTGTGAGGAAAGTAACTGACATGTCATCACAGCTGGCTGATAAAAACCGAATGTCTCAGTCACGAAGTTCTACATTCCCACTGACCGACTTGAACCTAGGAGGATGAGTGAACCAGCACAGTTAACTTGTATTTGTGACAAATTGAGATTATAACTCACCAAGGTAAGTCGAGTAGATTTTACGTGTAAATGCACTTCCACCCTGCTTGACGGGAATGAAAAGTGTTTCCTGTTTAATAAAGTGCAGTATCTTCTGATTTTGGTGCACCATTGAGGGGAAAACACACCCAGCTAAAGCTAAGGCAGTCTTTAAGGCTTCAATAATATGGTTTGATGATGGAATCTGGTAGACAGAGTCAACAGCGCGTACAACGCCTGCTAAAAGTGCATGCTTATTAAGGTTGGTCACAGGAGTGTAGGCAGAAGAGATGGAGAAGATAAAACACCGGCCTTGTGCCACGAACAAATTAAAGCCTTCACGTGCAGCTTTGGACCCTGTTGTACGGAAGTTTGATGACGTCGATTTACCTCCCCTCAAAGGCATGACCAGATTTTCACCATTGCGTGAACAAGACCCTCCTGCACTTCGAACATCCACTTAGTTTATGATCATAATCTCATGTCAATGTTCAAGTTAGCAAAACGTCAAGTTACTATCAAAAAATGGAGGAAAAGTATAAAGACTTACCTCTTTGATGTGGTCGTAAAAACCGCTGAATAAAAGGGTACAAATTGAGTACCAGCAATTTATGTAATCCAATGAGTCTAGTGACCAAATCCAACAGTAGCAGTCGGATTTCGAACCGATCACTGCAGTGTTCTAGCTTCCGAAAAAGCCTCTCAGCAAATGCTTGTGGATCATGTAACAGGTTGATCGCCGCGAAATGAGCTAAGTTCGTACCCTTGGCAGCTTTGCGAGCCTCTGTCTTGTTGATGTGTTCAATCGACCGTTCAAGTCGTTTCTGACGGTTTTTTGTTTTGCAACCAACACGATGTCCTAATCGAAGCTGTCTTATCTTCGTCTCTTTGTGCTGATGGGTTTTCAAAAACAAATAGGGATGGAATTGAGCAAAATACTCGTATGATGATGGAGTTTAAATGATCAGCCTACAACGGACTCTATCCAAAACTGGCTGCATAAAAGAGAAGGCTTATTCAGAGCGAACTAGTTCTCCCACACCTTTAGCAGATGATATGAGCTTTCCTTGCAAAGCGAACGCTGGGTTTGGGGATACTCACTTCAGGTATAATCCGACAAGAGCTAGAAAAGCTCATTTAATGAAATATTGCACTACTCTTCTCGTACAAACTAAGAATCGTATGACTGGGATAGCAAAATTACATGTGATAGGGAAGTATTAGACAGATTCCATGAAGACCAGATGGAAATTTCTATTTCGTCTACAGTAAACCCCCAAGAGGTTCAACGTTCTTGCAAATTCGTGGGTGACAGCGATACCGTGACCCTTTTCAATGACCGCCAGTTGCCGTCAGCTAGGTTTGAGCAAATTATTCTCCATATAAATTCGAATAAAAACTGGAAAACAAGAAAATTCATCAAGACAATGTGAGCTCATCCACCAGAAAATAATAACCAATATGGGAACGCATTAACCGTTGAATTAAGGCGCGTTACTCCCTTACTTCACGTGATAATGCAACAATTAACTGACCCACCAAATGGGGCTGTATGTATATCCGCGCCTAAATTAACGTCTAAGTCAAGAACGCCCTGAGTTATACTGGAGGTGTCCGCGTGAAACTCACAGAGTTTCTCGTACAATGTTGGTCTATGGGTAGAGTTCTGACGAACACAGCTTCCTGGCACTCAAGGTTGGGGGTGGAACATGTGTGGTGACGTGTTCCGTGAAAATGCTAATGTACTTGCACTTCCAACCCAACACCGCTGCCTTGCGGTTAGGCTTTGGTTGCCAGGTGAAACTGAGTGTCTGCGCAGACCGAGAAGCTTGGTGGACCCGAAAGACCGAAGAAATGGAAGATTCAAAAAATACTGGAAACGTGCCCAAGCTGTCCCACTTGATTCGTTCCACTGGTCCTCGGAAACCTCTCGTCAGCGGAATAATCAAAGACCAAGATGGCTACCGGATATGCAGCGAAGTAGCACGTTTGGACCGTTGGGCACAGTAATTTGAACAGCAATTCAGCTGGTCACCTGCTACCTCCGATCCCGAATCCTGGCCTTTAACAGAAAGGTGGACCGTAAATATGGAGTCATCGTCAGTCTCAGAAGTGTCCGAATGTATTTTTCTACTCAAGCGTCATCGTGCCGCTGGTCCTGACGACGTTCCACCTGCTCTTTTCAAGGATGGCGATGGAATCCTCAGCCAGTGCCTGTCTAGCCCATTTGGGTCTATCTGGGAGAAGGAGACCGCCCCAGAAAACTGGGGTGAATCGATAGTACTACCCATTTTCAAAAAGGGTACTCGAAGTTAATGTAGTAAACACAGAGGCGTTAGTTTAACTCCTGTTGTGACAAGGCTTCTGGCGTCACCGATTTTTCGTCATCTTACGGTGGCATGCGAAACCTTGACTCGTGAGAATCAAGCGGGATTTCGACCGGGTACCACATCTTCACACTCTGTCAGGTGTTAGAGCAACGCCATATGTACGAACAACCCACAATTCTGGTATTCCTTGACTCCAAGGGTGCGTTTGATTCTGTTGATCAATCAGTGCTGTTAACTACGCTTGATCAATACGGTATGCGCCAGAAGTTTGTAAACATAATCCGATCCCTATACTTCTGGGCGGATGAGAGTGCATGGTGAGCTCTCCAAAATCTTCCCTACAGAAAGTGGTGTCAGACAAGGATATTCACTCTCTCCATCGTTGTTAAGCTTCGTCATTGATAAAATAATGAGGCGAACATCGGACGGTCTTCAAAAACCCAGTGTTCGGATTGCTGGTGGGAGCCTTGTCGATCTGGAATACGCAGATGACATCGCCCTCATCTTTAAAGACCGAAGCAAAGCACAAGCCCTGTTGAATAGACTCACCACCATCATTCCATCTTTTGGCATGCGTCATCTTCAAAGTCATGCTTCAGAACGTGCCATCTGCGGACATATCCCTTACAATTCAAGGAGAATCACTGGAGATTGTGGAAAACTTTACATACCTCGATAGTTGTATTTGCTCTGACGGAAGTGTGTCTGATGAAGTCAGTGAAAGAACCTCAAAGGCTAATTTGCTAATTTGCGTCTTTTGTGGCGTCAAAAAGGCACTCACTAAACCTAAAGGGTCATGTGTACCAGGCTACAGTAAGGGCTGTGTTGTTGTATGGATGCGAGACATGGCCTCTGCAGACAGATGATGTGAGGTATCTTCAGGTTTTCGACCAGTGATGCCTCAGAAGCGTGCTTGGTTTTGGTTGGGACCGCGTGTTACTAACGAGGTGATTAGAAAACGGGTATTTGGTTGTGCTGCAGGCACCTCAATCCGGGAAAACATCCAGCATCATCGACTACGGTGGCTCGGTCATATGCTACATATGCCGAGACGAGTATTGCCCTCCGTGCCTCCTTCAGGATGGCACGAACCGCGAGGTGGACAGCGCACGACTTGGCAAAAAGGCGTGAAAGAGATCACGAAGAGTTTGGACGTTGTTGGGGCTGTACACTTTCCAGGATGGAGGCCCCGTGACCCCGCCTGTGCTTGGCTGGAGACGTTGCAAGAAATGAAGGCTGATCGATATCAGTGGCATTCGTGCTGTCAGTTTCTTTCCAGATTGTCTGATTGAGCGGTTGGAAGTGTAGGAACCTCAGAATGCTTGACATAGGCTAGCACCAGGTTCCCACCTTTCCAACACGTTTTCTCTTATTTTCACTCCAGGGATTTTAATATAATTATATACACCATATATATATATATATAACTAGACGAACCTTGTGGGTGTACGGCAGTGAAGCATCAGTGTCAATACTGATGTTGCTGTTTGATGATGGTGATGATGAATCGTCCTCTTGTCTAAGTGTGGGCGACCTGGCAGTGTCCCAGCCATCGTACAACCATGACATTTAAAGATAATACTCTCATGCTATATCGGCCGTCGCGTGGTGCCATCAGCCGGGTCGCCTCACTTGCTGCATACATCAAGGTGGGTAAGTGAAAACAGACTACTGCTGACGCCTCCCTTCGTTCTCAATCACAAACGTTTTCTTCCCCCTCTCACCACCCCATTAGTAACTCCCTCCTTGTAGACCCGTCAGTTGGGGCTGATGGCTCTCTTCGTCCTACATCGGTTTATCAAGCAACATCCGTGCGTCATCCTGCACCGACAGCCTCAGATATCTCGAAATCGATCTTCAAACCTCGATGCCCAGTCCATCTGGCCACTTTCAATCTCCGAACTCGGAAGCACGCAGGTCGACAAACTGCACTCACTCTCAAACGAGACTCACTTGACAATGAGGTGTGCTGCGTATCAGAAACAAGAATTCAAGATGCAAGTACAGTGGTTGAGCTGACCGCCTCATCACTCTTCACTAGCTTCTGGCTGTGCACCTCTATTGATCCATGTGCTGCCGCACTGGGATGTGCAAGGGTTCATATCGTCTTAAGTCACAGGGTAGAAGGGTCCTTGCTTGACTGGAGACCCGTTCACAGTCGCTTCTGCGCGGTTCGTCTGGCAACGTCCGTGAGGCAGTCTCACAAGCGGCAAGTGGGTCGATGTCTGTTGGTCGTGTCTCCCCACACCCAAACTGACCGAAGCTTTGACACCATCGAAGACAACTTTTATTATGCTCTGAATGCCCTACTGTGGCGAGCTTAAAGCTGCCGTTAAGGCTGCCGGAGATATGAATGCACAGGTGGGCAGGCTTAGCGCATCTGAGACTCAAGTAGGTGGTCGACATGGAATGAACTCGGTACGTACGGACAATGGTGAACGGCTGCTTCCGCTGAATGCCCGAAGACTATTTCAGTTGATCTGCGGGACCGGCTCCCGGAAACCTCCTGTGAGCGAAACCATTAGGGATCACAATGTAGTGATCACCCTGAATACTTCGAACAAGCTATTGTGGCCACCAACTGCCGTTCATTTGGAGCTCATAGTTGATGCAGAACCCTGGTCGGTGAACGTGGAACCTCCTGCGGCCTCGGAGGTTTACCACTGCATATGTTCTCTCAAGCAGAACCGAAACAGCTTCAGGTGTTCGACAATCGTTGCCTCAGAATCATAGCTCGTGTGGGTTGGTGTCGGCGAGTCCGTAACGAGGCAATTGTAAAGCGAGTTTTCGGTTGCGCGACAGGAAATTCCATTGAAGAACGTGTCCAGCACCAAAAGCTGTGTTGGTTAGGTCGTGTATCGCATACACAGAACCATCGTTTGCCAAAGAGTGCTGTTTTTCATGCCCAATTCAAACTGGCGGATGCAGAGATGTAGCCAGCCCCTGACCTGGCAGAGGGTATGAAAGAGACTACGAAACGTTTGGGTGCTGTCGGTGCTACTCGCCTACCAGGATGGCGACCAGGATGGCCACTGGACTTCCCCTCTGCCACTCGACTTCCCCTGTCTAGGCTTGGGCGACCTGGCAGTATCCCAGCCCTCGTGCCTCCTCCGTGTGGCATGGCAGCTAGGCCCTGAAAGGGTGCTACAGCTGGACGATGGCGACCACATGATCCCACTGCGCCTGGTTGGAGACGCTGCAAGATGTCACTGGCGTTCGTGTTGTCAGTTTCTATCCAGATTGCCAGAATGGGTGTCTAAAGGTGTAGGATAGCACTAAGTCTCACTCCTGTCTAACTTTACGCTTTGCTTCACAATAAGGTTATCAAATAAATGATGATTGTACGGCAGCGGAGCATCAGTATTGAATACTAATGTCATGCCGTCAGTGATTATGATGACGGTTGATATGAATCATCCGTTCTTATGAGACACCTTGTTTAAAGTGACATGCACTAGTAAACCTGGATCAATCGCATAGGACAATTCAATCGCAGTGATTTTATCTTGAAGAGTGAAGTAGCCATTTAGGGGAAGTTCTTTCATCAAAGGGTTATTGAAATAGTAGAAATCCGCGCCCAAAAATCATCACCTCGCGGCTGCTAAAAAAGCAACATTCTCCTATGCCCCTTATAAGACTTAAGATAGTCCATTTTTACACACGGCAAGTTTCCACTGACTGTTGTAAATATGCATAGGGAGACCCCAGATTCATTGAGACTTTGGATCATTGACTGACTGACTGAAGAACGAGTGAACGCACACAAGTGATAGTGTGTAAACAACGAATGAATTTGTCTGGATATTACGCTCATTCAGTATACAAAAGCCAGAAGTGCGGGACCTAGCATTTTGAATACTGACAGCAGTAAACTGTAATCAATATACGATTCCACAAGCAATTGAAAAGACTCAGGACCACAGCGTACCCCGCAGCCTTCGTTGAAACGGGGATGCTTGGCGAAGTATTGCATGCGCATACATGACTGTACTTTGGAACTGATGAGCGGATGATAACCAGAGCTATTCTTTCAGTTTTGCTAATCTTGGTTTCATATGTTGACCAGATAATTGGTTTGGTGTGGAATAATGAGTACACGCCATTCGGAGAGTCAGTCACTGTGAGAGTCACTTCTCTAAAATTATCCTGGATTTCCGCTCCCAACGTGCCAAAGATTAAGCGTGGCATTTCTGACTGCACATGGCATCCAGGCTAAGCAATTGCCTCTGTTTCTTACACATGAACTTTTGTACGTACCTACTGGTCTTGCAGTCAGTCAACAATCTACGTAGTCTTCATGAATTAATAACGGTCATGTGACCGGCTCAATGACACAATCCTGTCTAAAATATGTCTATTTATATAGAAAATGTGAGGAGATAATAATATAACGAAAGGGACTATTTCTTCCAGTTCCAAACCGCTCCACTTGCAGGCTGTTCTATTTGACCTACCTTGTGTGCGTAGGGTTAAAAGGAGACCGTTCTAAAATGACATGAGATTTCACTTTTGTAGTGTCCAAGAAAGGTTCGAAAGTAGTTCAGAATATCGCAAACAGCTGTGTAGGTTTCCATCATGAAGAAAAACCTCACTGCACTTAATAATACGTATGAGTTTTCAATAGTTTTTCAAGCAACTTGGCGACCTTCGAAAACCTCAGAAGCACATCAGTTCGCCTGAGTTTTTGTCTTAAAGTGACTGTCACAAGAACAGAAAATTAAACTGTAAGTCTCATGAGATTATGGAATGTACCGAAATACCCATCGTTGTGAGCTGAGTTCGGACATGGTGAAGGAGGTTGGGCGGTGGAAAATGAAAAAATTAACACAACCTAATATTGATTAACACGTCCATCTGATCGCTGGATAAGTGATGAGCACTGTCGTTGATAAGAGCGTTCGAGATGATGATTTAATTTACTTGTCCGGGAGGTTCTCAGGCGTCACGCTGGTTTCCTGATTTCCTGTAGTGTAACCATCAATCACTTATCACAAGATTCTATCCAATTTGCAACCTAGAAAGCCACTGCACTATAGTGAAACAACTCAAAAAATACACAAGTCTGTTGTCGTACATCACCGAATTCGACCTTACCGTATCCGGCTCTGATTCGCTGTCACTGTCCTTTTCGTTATTCGTCTTGTCTTGTCCGAGAAAAAAGCGCACCGCTGGAGCATAGACCTGGATAAGAAACGAACTCTTATTTTTCAAAATGAACTGTCACCTTTTTCCTCTTAGCTAAGCAGGCCTCGGCAATCAAATTTGCTGTTCGAGCATCATTCCAAACATTTTTTCTGAACAATCGTAACAGGACGAAGACTGCCTCTCTGGCAACTGTTGGGTTGTTATCTTTCAACAGTTTCGCAAGATGGCTTTGCACAAGCTGAAACGGTCAGAAAGTGTGGATTCAACCTACCGAGTTAACTTTGTGCATCTTCTGCCGAAGATTGAGACGCTTGATGTCGTGGACGACGAAATTCCTCATAGTCTGCCGAACTTGTTTATCTTGGCAACGGTGTAGCTTGAAAGCAATATCTATCGCCTTGTCCAAGGGAACTAAATCCCTCGTCTTTAACCGCATGAATGCTTTCATAAAAGCCTATAGGGTTAGGATATGAAAAATGGCGAAGGTAGTTACCATGCGCATTGTTGGGTTCATTCCAAAAGACCGAGAAAGTAGAGTCTGAAGTACGCCGGAAGAGAAACCTTCAACGTAGTCTGGATAGAAATGAACAACCTGAGACAGGTCAACGAAATCGGACCCCTAGTACCTGAGAAATAAAGAGAAGCAGTTCCTCCAACTTTTCAATATGCTGAGAGGGGGCGCAGTTGAAAGACTGCTCAAGTGCTTGATAACCTTCATAGTGTTTCGCGAACTACAACTCTGCGTGAAATATGAGTAAATTTACGTCTGACTTGTAGGTTCCCGGATCACGTTTGAGATTATACTGTAATTCTGAGAGAGGTCGGTCCTCCAAAACCATGATAGCGCGCGCTGAACTTTCCTCAGCGGTCCTCTTCAAGGAAAAGAATTCAATCACACAGCTGAAAAGAGGGAAATTTTTCATGATAGGAATCCAATAATTTGCAGCTATCAAGCGAAAGCACGAACACGTTAACAAGGGTAACACATATGAACTTTGTCTACATAAGTGACCGATCACAAGCACTGGTTTCAAGTCATAGTTGATGCAACCCAAAATTATTAGACCTACTCGCGAGACTACTTTCCCCACCTTTACATAAGACCCAGATATAACAAACGCTAAACCGCAATAAAGCTGGCATGGGACAAGCCATGAAGTCTTATGTGCTGCATTCCCAAAATCAGCAGCGGCTCGGTACTCACAAGAAACTGCCCCATCCTGACGCAGGAGGCAGTGGAAGAGAAGTGATCCAACCCTCACGCCGATCGCGCCGCGATGGAATGTAGTCAACGACCGTGTATTATTTCGGAACAGTGCACAGTCGAACCACGGGCTAGACCACCGCCATCTCGAAGTTCATCGCTCGTGCCTGCGAAGAACCCTATCCACTGGCTGAAACTTGCCTGTCTGGAAGATTCAATTGACAAATACCTTTGCCAATAGCTCAATACACCCCATTCCGACACAAATCCAGTTGGGTGATCAAATAGGCCTTCGAAAAAGGCCTTCATTCCGACCTAAAGCCGCCATCTTGTCGTGGTGGTCGGACTTCAGTGCTGCAATGGTCTTGCAAGCACATTTGTTGGAACTTAGTTTCCCAAGGTTCAACCATATGAGAAAAGCCAACGGAGAGCAGTCCGACGGACGAGTCTCGTAACACGAGAAATCGTACTGTCTTCGATTATGGGAGTGTGAAGACAGCAAGGTGTTTCCATCAGCTAACCAAAAAACATACTTATGAACGCAACCATGCTGCCTTTTCCCGAAGTAGGACGGGTTAGAAAAGGTCAGCCCTAAATTCGCACAATCCGATCACCCACCCGTCAACCGTGACCGCTGGCACACTTCTTAATACGGTCAAAATACTTTTGAAACCAGAGTCTGGCGCTGCTCCGAACGTAACTGCAGTGCACAAGTACACTAGGAGTGAGACAGTAATGCCGTACTCCCTGCATCCTCGGTTTGGGCCAGCCCTCTGCAGTCGAGCAAGTAGGACTATTGAGTCATCGGCTCCAGGAAGAGTCCCTCAAGAAACACCTAACAACCGCTGCTTCGAGGTTCAGACTTCTGATTCAGAGGCTAGGGAAATAATTCCAAAACAAAACTGGGCATCCTCCACTGCCTTGTGGGTCAAGCTTTCCAGTAAAACGCTCAGGGTGTGCTACCTCAACCAAACTCCCGTTGTTAAGCCAGGGTACCTGAGAGGTATCATTCGCCCTTGCAGGTCTTTGTTCACCAGCCCTCACCCACACCCCTACCCCACCCATCGAATAATGCACTGCGGTCAACCCATCTGCCAGTCCCCTAATGACTGTTTTGCATCCAAACTATCACCCAGAAAAATAAACCAAAATATCCCCCTACCAAGTTCCAAAGATCTGATTTACGTCACAGACTTCAACTTCCCCAAAACACGCAAACAAGACCCCACTTCGGTCATTCACATCAACCCACTTGGAGAGAGCTCATACGTTCCACATTTCACTCCTCTGGTATCTAGTGACCTTTATGCAATGGCTCGTGTTATCTACGGTATGGAAGTTGCACTCAGCCTCAAGGCCGAAAATGCTTTACTAAACTGGTCCCAGTAAACGACCATCTTTGTGTTGCACGGCTGTCTGGTACAATCAAGACCGGTGCAGTTTATTTGTCGTATCAGCATACGTCCCGACAGATCGCAGCTATGAATCTGAGGAGTTTAGCCGAGGTTTGTCATGACCGCTTCAGTCAACAAAAAGAATGGATATAGTCATTCTGTGGGGCAACGTGAAAGCCCAAGTTGGACGACTTAGTAAAGTGAAGTGACAGATTTTGGAATCGACGCTCAACGTAAGGATAATGGGGACCGATTTCTCAAGTTGTGTGCTGAGATTTGGCTGCTTCTATCCAGTTAGACTTTTCAACATAAGCGCTCGTATCAAGTTCTGGGAGTTCACCAGTCGAAAGCCAGTCATGGACTCAAATGGAACATATGGCTGTCAGTTACCGATGGGGGTTCAATTAAATATTGCCGTTCCTTCTAGGATACGCGGCCATACCTTTGTGCGCGCTTGATTATCAATTCGCTTTCTGCTGGCATTACACGTGCAGAAGTACAGCAACTAAGTTCGTCAGCTTTGGTGAGTTTCATTAGCTCGAAAGTATTGAGCTAAGTCAAAAAAATTCATCAAAGTCCTGTTAATGACAAAAGACTGCTTAGGAGCTAAATGAAAGCGAGTTAAGGGAGCCCTCGTACCAGTTTTTTACAACTGCCTGTACAAGCCATCCGACTCTAAAAGTGAACACTGGAGACTATCGAAATCAGATCTTATTGCTGCCTAAAAACCAAACCAGAAAATAGCGGCTGTGGTGGCGAAAATAAATCCCCAAGCGCCAGATGATCAAGGATTTGAAGAATGACAGAGAACGCTGATGGAATGCGAAGACTCAGGAGATGTGGGCAAAAGCCATGGCCTATTTTAGCTGAGTTGATCAACCGGCCAAAAGATAGGTGTCAACGAACAGTTAAGCGAAAAAGACGGAACGGCAATTCGCTCACAAAGTTATCATCTTAAGCGATTGGTTGAGCGCTTTAAAGGGGAGTTAAACAGGAGTCCTTTAACATAACCAACGAAACTGAATGGAACAACCATACGAGCCTATCGTCAGCATGAGATATTATTCTTCCAAAGCGATAAGGCACCTGGTCCAGATGGTCATCACCCCACAGTTTTCAAAGGCAGTAAAGCCCTTGTAAGTAGCCTGATGATTCTACTGCGGAAGATTTGAGACAAAAAGAGAAATACCAGTAGGATAGAAGGTACCGACCGTAACTCCCAGTCTTTAAAAAGAGCGAAAACCTATTCTGATTAGAGCCCGTCTTTCAACTGCGCTTCATACCCGCAGGTGTATGATTCTACTATAAAGAGTGGACTTAAACGCAAACCTCATGCTCATAGTCCAAGTCATCAACCTGGTTGATAGACTTGTTTACCTGGGCTGTCGTATAAGTTCCGATGGATTGACTAGAGATGAGATTATCTCTCGAATCTGTAAGGCCAGGGCAGCCTTTGCGGACCTCTGACACCTACGGCACTGGTGTGACGTCAATTTGTCTGCCAAGAGCAAAGTGTACATTGCAATGGTGCGATCCGCACTGCCGTCTAGATCAGAAACGTGGCATCCACGGGCGGAGGATGTACAAAAGCTGCAGTGGTTGACTATGCGTGTCACCGAGTTATCCGCGGGGTCTCTTGGGGACATCAGATTAGCAATTCTGAGGCATGTCAAATGGTTTTAGTAAAAGGAAACTCTCCTTAGATGAACAAGTTACCCACTATTAATGAGTTACACTAGTTGGAACGTGTATTCCGCATGCCAGAAGACTGTCTCACAAGGCCCTTTCCGCCCAGCCATGTATTGAGTAGAAGGAACCGAGAGGTTAACAATGACTGATCCGGCAACGAAGTATAAAAAACCGCTGCCCGTTAAACTCAGTCGGGTCGACAACCGCCACCTCAGAGGATGAGGGTCCCGGGATTCAACTCACTAATGATTAGAGACAGTGGCAAACATGATGAAACCACACAGGAAGTAGCTCTCTTGTATCAAAGCTATCACCCTTAATGCGTAGCTGGTTGGGGTGAGATAGTTCAAGTGGTTGGAGTGCTAGTTTGTGGCCGGGAAGTCCGGGGTTCAACCTGGCAGTATCCCAGCCCTGGTGCTTCCTTCGGGTGGTATGGCAGCTAGGCAACAAAGGGGTGCTACAGCCACCGCTTCCAATGCTTGGCCATATTTCCCACGCTCTCACGTTTTCCGGTGGCCCAAACTGTGGCAGCTGTGACCAACGTACCCCTTGTACATGGTTTACAGCTGATAAACTGATTAAGCTAAATGAGCCAACAGAAATTTTCAGCACAGTCGCTTACTGTGATATGGAGGCCACCAATTTCAAACCAGCCCTAGACTCGACTGGACCACGTGGCACTCAGCAACCGGTGAAGATCGTCAACATGAGATTTTCGTTCACTTCGGAGTGCACCATTTGACTCTGATCACAGCATTGTGTGGGCACACATACTTACTGGCTTGACCTAGGGAATAAGCCCGTTAGTGCAAATTCATTCAGTTCACTGCCTGCGAAACGTCTTTTTAGGTCAATGATGCCGAGTTGAGTTGGGTGGGGGCTTCCACAAATCGAAGGGGGAAACGGTGGTAATGTTGATTTGGATGCCGATTGGGGGTGAAGGAAGTCACGCTCATAGCTTTTGAGGCTATCTGCCCGAAGTCGTCCGCACACCCAAATGAACACAATATCTCGTCACAATCAGCAAATGACTGAAGCCCAGAAAACCACACCAGCGACAAACTACTGAGCGCGCGCGTATAATGAACAACCGAATAATGAATAGTCTAATATCTAAAGGCAAGGCTGGTTGATCGTAAAGGCAAAAAGGGAAACAACCACATCCCATTTCAGCTAATCCGATCAACTGAGTCGAAGGCGGCTGTTAGTGAAACAAATCCCTCATATAGCCAGTTGCCCATGACGTCCTGAATTCTCTGCTGCGGCGAGCAAAGAGCTCAGACATTGTGGTGGTTGCCGGAGATATGAATGCGCAAGTGGGCAGGCTCAGTGCATCTGAGACTCAATTGGAAGGTCGACATGGACTGGACTTGGTACGTACGGACAGTGGGGAACGACTGCTTCAGCTGTGTGTTGATCGCAGGCTGTTTTATGCAGTACTAACTTCCGAAATAGCCGAAGTCGTCTGGCCACTTGGTGGCCTCCAACAACAGGCCGGCCACAAACTCAAATCGACCACACTGGCATCAGTTACCAATGGCGCGGGTCCATA